TTTTTAAGGAAGGACCTCGTGTGATCACAACTTACAACTTCCTTCCAGCTTCCATCAATCTAGAACTAAGGAGAAATTTCCTGACAATTAGAACAATTAATCAGTTGGACAAATTGTCTCTAGAAGTTGTAAATGCTCCAAGACTGGAAGTTTTAAAGAAGAGATTGGAGAACCATTTGTATGAAAAGGTATGCAGTTTCCAGCCTGAGCAGGGGATTGGACTAGAAGACCTCCAAGGTCCCTTCCAACTCCAATATCCTATCCATTTCTATTCTATATTGCTTTGCTTGTGAAAAGCCTGAAAGTAAAGTTGAAGATCGCAATCATGTGACTATGGGATACCTTGACAACCAGACATTCAGGCCAGTTGCCAAGTTTGAAAATTGTGATCATGTGACTACAGGAGTCCTGTGACAGCCTGAATTTCAAGGAAATCATGAGTACCACTCATGCTGCACCATTGCAAATTCAAATGGTTGTTTAAGAAGAGACCGCCAAGACACTGTCAGTCCCAAAGCCCCCTACAGCTAATTCGCCCCAATATACTCACCATGGCCAACTTGCCATGAAAAAACTCACCATGTCCAAATCTGTGTTGGACAACTGATTGTAGGGCAAGAGTTACCCAAATATCAAAGAAATGGTGGAATAGAATCATTAAAGAAAAGATACAAAGAACAAACTGAAATCTGAACGACAAAAATTAAATATTTCTAATTTATTTTAAATAATTAAATTGAAGTGATACATCGTTCTGTGGTGAGTTGGCCATGATGAGTTGCCCATGGTGGGGTGGCGACAGAGAGTTGGCTGTGGCAAGTTGTCCCATTCCACCCAAAGGGTAGGCTTGATTGAGAAACCAAGGGTCAGGACTAATTTTATTGCAAGTTCTATAATAACAGAATCCTGAAAATTTGAACATCGTTACCACTCCCTCACATTCTCTTTATATGAACTGAGCTTGTTTGAAATGTTTCTTAAGTTATTTTTCATTGTCCTGCCCCACGGTCCTCTTATCTAATTGGCTGTCCCTCCTGTCCTTCAAGGCTCCTAGGATCTCTAAAGATGCAGAGATTTCCCAATTCACAACACATAAGCTGGGGAGGAAGAAGCCTGAGTACCTTAGTCTCTTGCTAGTTATTATTTGTTTGATTATGGCTTGCAGCTAAAATAAAAGTTTTTATATTTTCTTTATTAAGAACAGAAATAGAAATAATAGAAATAGAAAGAAATAGAAACAGAAACAATAGAAATACAATAGAATTATTTAAATATCAATGTCTATGTTTTGAACATATATTCAATTCAGTTTAATTCTTTGTTTGGTGATTGGACATACAAAAAATTTGTCTTTTGTACATATGCTCTCAATGTACATAAAAGGAAAGATACATTCGTCAAGAATAATAAGGTAGAACACTTAATGATAGTCATAGGGTATAAATAAGTAATAAAATCACACTAGGAAACAATCAATATAAATTGTAAGGATACAAGCAACAAAGTTACAGTCATACAATCATAAGTGGGAGGAGGTGGGTGATAGGAACAATAAGAAGATTGATTGTAATAGTAATGCAGACTTAGTAAATAGTTGGACAGTGTTGAAAGAATCATTTCTTTAGCCGAGTGATGGCATTCAGGAAAAAAACTGTTCTTGTGTCTAGTTACTCTTATGTGCATTTCTCTATAATGTCATTTTGAGGGTAGGAGTTGTCTAGAATGTGAGGGGTATATAAATAAATATATTATAAATTCTTTCTCCTTCTTCTGTCCTTTTCTCTCTTTGTTTCTCTCTGCTGTCTCTATTTCAGACTCATTCTTTTCTGAGAAGTGTCAGATTCAACAACAGTGTTGGTGAGAAGGTCTCCTTTGATGAAAATGGACAATTCATTGGTGGATATGATATTATCAACTGGGTCACATTCCCAAACCAGTCATTCCATAGGATCCAAGTTGGAACGGTGGATCCCACAGCTCCAGCAGACAAGTTCTTCAGTATTTCTGTAGATTCCATCATGTGGCCAGTAGGCTTTAATCGGGTTAGCTGTCTGAATGTAGACTGGTCTGCTTTCATTTATGTAGCATTAAAATATCTTTTTTCCCCAAAAATTTTATTAATTTTTAAAAAACAAACATATACAAACAAAACACAAAACATGAAAACATAAAACATCTTTTTGGAAAGCAGCTTGATCCCGGGTTACATCTTTTTGCACAGACATAAATTCAAGTTCATGCTCACTTTTATATACCATTCCATATCTTATTTACCATTCTACATTTTCTGTATAGCTTCTCCCCTCTTTTCAGTCTCTTAATTCTATTTTATTTATTTCATCTCAATTTAAATCATTATACTTATATCCTTTGTCTGTCCTGTTTCAGCTGTCTATTATCTTTTCTCATTAACACAAAATTTCTCCTGTAATCACTGATTGGAGTATGACGCCTTTATATCTTTTCCCTAAATTTAACACTTAAAATAATACATAATTTTCATTCGGATTCTGCTTAGTACATTCTAAAGCTACGCACTATATTTTAAAATAAGAAAAAATTATAAATATATAATATAATTAAAACAACAATCCATACCAATTAAACTCTATCATTAAAATTTATTTATTTATTTATTTATTTATTTGATTTGCCAATTGTTTACAAGATAATAAGTATAAATGTATACATAGTTGTGAATACATGAAATGGGTACATATAAGAAAAATAAAAGAATAAGAGAAACAATAGGACAGGGACGGTAGGCACGTTGGTGCGCTTATGCACGCCCCCTACAGGCCTCTTAGGAAGGGGGTGAGGTCAAAAACAGCTGTCTATTATCTTTTCTCATTAACACAAAATTTCTCCTGTAATCACTGATTGGAGTATGACGCCTTTATATCTTTTCCCTAAATTTAACACTTAAAATAATACATAATTTTCATTCGGATTCTGCTTAGTACATTCTAAAGCTACGCACTATATTTTAAAATAAGAAAAAATTATAAATATATAATATAATTAAAACAACAATCCATACCAATTAAACTCTATCATTAAAATTAATATTCATTTAAGTCTTGAGCATTTTACACAGTCCTTTTCAAATAGGTATCATGTTTTTATGGGAACTCTTATAAATTTTACATAGTTACTTCCACCACATTTCACTTATATTTTAAAATTATGTAATTAAGATGTTCCCATTCCTTCTTAATTCAATTCTCTCATATTTCATTTCATTTATCTTGTTCAAAAAATTAGAAAATTTCACTAAATTATATTGAATATTTTATCCCATTTTATAATCATATGTTGTTCCAATTTTCTAACATTATTTCTAATACAAATACAACAATACAGTCTTATGTACCTTTGCAGAATCTCTTTTTGAATTATATTTTTACCCATTATCTCTAAATAAATCCTGTTTCTTTACATCTTGTTTCAAACCTTTGCAGCTTCTCTTCCCTTCCTTCCTCCCTTGCTTCTCCACTCTACCCTTTTTACCCCCTTGTCTCTTGATCTCCATCCTCTTCTGTTTTCCTCTTTTCTGTTGCTTTCTGACATTGTGTCCACTTTTCACCTTATTTTTCCCTTTTTTGGTTGTTTTTTTAAGTCTTAAGTTCTCCATTCTCTTTTCCCCCTTTCCCCTTTCTTCCCCAGATAAAGTTGCTTGTTCATTAAAGATGGCTTCTTCTTCATCCCAATCTTCTTGTTCTTGTAGTTTCTTATAAGTAGAAATCGCCATTTCTAAAAAATGAAAAACGAAGCCAAAAGAGCCCTTCTCTTCTTGTTCCTCTTATTTATATTTTTTGAATTCCATTTTCAGTTCATCAACAAGTAATGCCATTGTAGAAATTTTTTTAAACAACCCAAATGTTTTTAATCATTCAAATAATAATTTCCAAAAGTCCCAAAGACATCAAGCAGTCCAAATACACACAGGCTGTTTCATTTAATACTTTTTTCTTTTTTCACTTTCTCTTCCTGGGGTTACAATTCAGTTAGAAAGTTCCAATTAAAATGTATCTTTTAGAAGTTTTGTTACAATTTAGCTCTAGTCTTTTAAATTCCAAGCAGTCTCTTCCAGCCAAATCTTAGTCTTAATTCTTTTCCTCTCCCTTCCCACTTACAGCAAAAAAAAAAAAAAAAGGTTTTTTCAGTGTTCAGAAATCTTTATTGTCCCCTTGTCTTTAATTTTCCAGTTTAATTACCTGCTGATGCCAAAGCAGGTTTTTCCAATTTCTCATTCACCTGCTGTCACCGTAAGGAAGGAGAGTAAGAAAAAACAAACTTTCCCTTTTCACTTTCGTTCGCTGCTTCCAGATCTTCTTTGGGAATGATGTATCCTTTGCCAAAATTTAAATTCCAGGATATCTTAAATATTGCTTGTCATCCCAGTCAGCCAAAACTTTCACTTCTCAGCTTCCTCCTGCACATACTTTCCCGCATGAGTGTTTCTTTGTGGCGGCCATTTCTGACCGCCGCTCATACTGCTTTCAGAAAAGGGAGTTAAACCAGCTGAAGAGGGGAGGTGCGATTCCCCTCAACCCTGCTGGGTCTCCCCTATATTCAGTCACCTCTATGGGTGACTATAGCCACGAAGCCGGCTGGCTCGGGGCACTCCAGCCGTGAGCGCAAGCAGAAACCACACACAATCGCGAATTCCGCCGCCACCGAAGCCCTACAAACCGGAAGTCCAAAAAAATTATCTCTAATAATTTTCTAAGAGTTGATATAGAACAGGGGAGTCAAACTCAAGGCCCGCAGGCTGGATCCGGCCCATAGAGTGCTTAAATATGTCCAGGGGGCCACGCTAGAAACATTAGAAACAGCAAAGTACCAGCCTGCAATACATCTGCCAGTGAATACAGAGTCTTGGTACCTGTGTCCATTTTCACTGGCAGAGCTCTGCAGGAAGCTGTCCCAGCCAAAAATGGAATCTGGGGGGAGTCGCCTGGGCAACTACAACTGATACAGACATGAGTTACTTCGATATGGCCATGCTCCCTGGCCCCCCACTTGAGGTAAGCACAACCCTGATGTGGACCTCAATGAAGCTGAATTTGACATCCCTGCCATAGAATATTATACTCATTAGTTTGGCTCTCTGTTAACAATGCATGGGTTTTTTTTTAATTTTATTTTAAGTATAAGAATATAACATGGTGCAGCCATTCTGGTGTTACAGTTGTGAAGTAAAACCTACAATCCAGTGTACTGAATTTCATCAATCTGGTGACTTCAAAATTAAGAAATTGAGAAAAACATCTTTAACCAGCACAAAAAATAGAAATTAGAATTATTAAAAATATAGAAAGCCATTGACAACAATAATTACATATATTGAATGAATTATTATTTTAGTTCATTTAGATCACAAAACAATGTAATCACATGGCATCTCATTATCAATACATTTTTATGCACTTGATTCCACACTAACAATATCTTTCCAAGAACTTTCTTTTTCCTCTGTATCTTAAAATATTCTTTTTTATTCACTGATAGACGTTGCCTTTATCTCTGTGTAATGATCCCTGTGAGACAGGATACAGCAAGGAAAAGTTAGAAGGAGAATCATTTTGCTGTTATGTTTGCCGTCTATGTCCAGATGGGAAAATATCAAAAAAGAAGGGTAGGAAATTTCCAAATACATTATAATGGGACTAAGCCATGAGGGTACAACATTGTCTATAATCCATTGTATAATTCCAATCAATGTCTACTTTTTCAGATGTGAATGACTGCTCTCCATGTCCAGAAGACCAATATCCAAATCCTGACAAAAATATGTGCATTCCAAAGCGGATCACGTTTTTGTCCTATGAAGAACCCTTGGGGATCAGTCTGATTGTTCTTTCTCTTTGCTTTTCTTTGAAGACAACTTTGATCATCACAATCTTCATGAAACACAAAGATACTCCCATCGTCAAAGCCAACAACCGGAATCTTACCTACATTCTCCTAGTTTCCCTCCTCCTCTCTTTCCTTTGTGTCTTTCTATTTCTCGGGAGACCCAATACGATTGTGTGTCTCCTTCGACAGCCAGCTTTTGGGCTCATCTTTTCAGTGGCGGTTTCTTGTGTCTTGGCCAAAACATTTGTTGTGGTTCTGGCATTCATGGCCACCAAACCTGGTTCCAGATTGAGGAAATGGGTGGGGGGAAGAATGGTCGGTTTCATTCTTCTAGCCTGCTCCCTTGTCCAAATGTGTGTTTGTGTTGTGTGGCTGATAACATCCCCACCATACCCAGATTTTGATGCACACTCAATACCTGAAGAACTCATCCTGGAGTGCAATGAGGACTCGGTCATGTTCTACTGTGTTTTTGGCTTTATGGGTTTTCTTGCTTTGGTTAGCTTCTCTGCTGCTTTTCTAGCTAGGAAGTTACCTGACAGTTTCAATGAAGCCAAATTCATCACCTTCAGCATGTTGGTCTTCTGCAGTGTTTGGCTGTGTTTTATCCCAACCTATCTAAGCAGAAGGGGGAAATATACATTGGCTGTGGAGATCTTTTCCATGATCTCCTCCAGTGCTGGACTATTGGTGTGTATCTTCCTTCCTAAGTGTTTTATCATTGTGATGAGACCCGAACTGAATGATAAACATCAGCTCATGAAGAGAAATTTTTAATAAACCTTTTGGAGATCTGATATCCTTTGGAAATCTTCCCTAGTAGCACACTTAAGCCAGAAAACAATGTGCAGTAAGACTGGCCTTCTATACTACCCTATCTCTAAAATTCAATATAGATCAGAACATTTTTTTCCTTCTGGAAGGCAATTATAAATGGGGACCAGTGGTGGGATTCAAATAATTTAACAACCAGTTCACTGCCTTAATAACCAGTTGGTTAGGTGTGGCTGGGTGGCTCTGGGACTGAGTGGGCTTGGCCAACTCGATGTCACTCAAGTCAAGGGGAGCTTCTCCTCGCCTGTCCTCTTGTGACTGTGGGGATGCTGCAACGGTTGTAAATGTGAAAAATGGTCATAACTCACTTTTATTCAGTGCCATCATAACTTTGAATGGTCACTAAATGAACTGCTGCAAGCCAAGGATTACCTGTACAAAAATACAAAAAGCTTCTTTGCTTGCAAAAAGCTGCCCTAAATGCCAATTATTAGATTAAAAATACTTGCAAGCTGGAGTTACAAATCAGGCAGGGGGCCAGAGCACCTTGAGGAATTAAAATAGTGCAATAATAACTAATAACTAGCAGCAGTGACTCTTGCTCATAAAGTGAAACCCTTTAGTAGAGAGGTCATTTAAGCTCTCCAGAAAGAGCACACTCAGGAGAAGCAATCTTTAGATCCATTTGCATGACTTAAAGATATCAGCTGCTTTCACAGACCTCACAAGATATCCTAAGGAAATCATCCAGATTTATGGAAAGATCACAGGCTCCCCAGAAAGGCAATAAAAAAAAATCAGTGCCAAGCTTGCATCCGACCTCTTGAAAGTACACCTCAAAAGGACAGTGCCAGAAACCACTAAAGCAGTGAAGGAAGACCCCCTCCTCAGATAGAAAAAGAAAACATGAGGCAGGAAAAAAATTAAACACAATCCAAATTATTAAATCACAATAGTAGCTGTTGGTTCTTAAACAATTACCAGGACAAAGGAACTAGCCAGATTTCTCAACCCAGTTTCTTTTCAGAAACAGAGATTAACCATTTTCCTCCCTGAATAGGGAAAATTATTCCATCAATAAACACAGGATTAAACATCGCCAAGCACAGAATTAAACTTCACCAAAAACTAGTTTTAGACCAAAACTCAGAAAGGGTATGTAAATTCAGGTGACAGGAAGTCTAGGCATACTGCCAAGAATCTAATAAGCATTAATGGAGAGGCAGTTTCTATAAGCAGGGCAATAAAAATTAGGTTATAATCAACACCAGAATGTTTCCTGCCTTCCATTTAGGATTAGTCCTGTAAAGTGAGAAAAAAGGAGATTTCTTCCATTAACCAGTTCTTCGAACCGCTCAGAAAGTTTACAAAAGGTTCTAGCAAATAGGTGAGAACCAGTAGAATCCCATCCCTGATGCTCATCTATTTGAATTGTTCATCTTTCATAAATAATGGGTTTCAGAAGGAGCTGGGAGATATCCTGGAGGTTCTGCTGCATGGCTCTGTGGGGGTGTTTGACCTAAATGGTTTCTGACAGAAGGCAAGGCCCTGGACAGGATCACGTCTATGTGCCTTTTTCTGATCCATTTGTCCTGAAATTCCCCTTGGTCTATTGAGAAGGTGAAGGTGATGAAAAGAGTCAAAAGATGGTAGAGTGCCACTGGAGGAAAACGAAGAATGATGTTGCACTGGATGAGATTATTGAACACCACTGGATGATGTATCATGAGCTTCTTCAGTTCTAACCAATTTGTTTTGAATGGTTTTCATAAAATCTATCCAGTTGATCTTCTTTTTGTTGACAGCACATTAAACAATGATTTTTTTGATACATGCCTTAAGAACATTTGTAATTCCAGTAATGTGCAGGAAAATTCCTTTCCAAATGAAGAAATATCATCGATTTTACGGATGGTTTCAACGAATGAAAATACTAATTTTAATACAATTGGTACATGCATACATCCAAACCTAACTGTGTTGTTTTTCTCCTCTTACTAACATCTCTCCCTAAACCCATTACCATAGTAAGAGACTATCATGTTTACCAATCAGATCATGAAATCCATAGAGGAGGTGGTGTTGCTATTTTCCATAAAAAGTCCCTACATCTAAAAAACATCCAAGTTACCCAGGAGCTTGCTCTTCCTGAGACCATCGTCTCTGAATTGTCCTTAAATATCACATTTTCATTCTTATTATGTTACAGGGCTTCTGATTATGACATTGAACATGTAAACAAGTTAAATTCACTACTAACATGGGTTACATCCTGCCCACACGCTTTTATCTTTCTTGGTGATCTCAATCTACCTGATATTAACTGGACCCTAAACGAGTATAAAAATGAACCCATACATGCAAACTTCTACAATGCTGTAACAAATCTGGGACTGGAACAACTAGTAACCAACAATACTGGATTGAACAACTGCCTCGATCTCATCTTCTGCAATAGTTTGAATTCAATTTACGGATTACAAATTAAAGAACACTTTTCCAACAGTGACCACAACATAATTGACTTATGTCCACACAAAAATCACCACAACAACAGAATCCCCAATTATAACTTCAAAAAAGGCAACTATGATCTTATAAACAACGATCTCTCATCCCTTGATTGGCAATTTCAATTCACTGGATGCAATACTGTAAAAGAGCATTACAACATATTTTTACTTGAATTCAAAAGAGTCATCAAACTATATGTATCAATAACAACTCCAAAAACCAGAAAAAACAAATTACCCATTACAATAAGGAAGCTTCAATCCAAAAAGAAATCACTTTGGTGGAAAAACAAATCTGGTCACGTTGCCAACTTCAAAAGCAAATACAAAAATTTATGCCACCAGATAAAGACTGAATGCACCAATTATCACATTAAACAAGAGGAAAACCTTCTACACACCAATTCCACCCGTGCTTTCTACAATTTTGTAAACAACAAACTAAAAGACTCAAGGTCCATCCCACCCCTGATAGGACCTAATGGTAAAGACTGCAAAGAAGACACCATTAAAGCCAACCTCTTTAACACATTCTTTGGCTCAGTATTTGTAAACAGCAATGGATCATGCCCAGTATTTCCTAGTCGAACCACAGACATTGCACTGGACAAAATATGTGTCTGCTTCTTAAAAAAGCTATCCACTGCCATAGCCAAACCTCTAAGCATAATTTTTGAAAAATCCATCGGGACCAGTTCCTTGCCAAACCTATGGTCACAAGCCACGGTCATCCCCATTTTCAAAAAGGGAGACAGCAGCCTAGTTGAAAATTACAGATCAATCAACCTACTCTCTAATAAGCAATTTGGTTTTGGAAAAAAAATAACCTGTAATCTGCAACTCTTACACTGCAAAAACATATGGACTACACAACACGATCAGGGCAAAGCAATAGACACAATCTACATAGACTTCTGTAAAGCTTTCAATTCAGTGGTACATGACAAACTACTCCTAAAACTAAAATCTTATCGTATCTCTGGACACCTGCATAACTGTCAAGAAGCATTCTTGTCAAACAGACAACAAATGGTCAAAATTGGGAGCGTCCTATCAAATTCTGTACCTGTCAACAGTGGTATCCCCAAAGGCAATATTCTTGGACCAACTCTCTTCATACTTTACATAAATGACCTCTGTGATCATATTAAGAGCAACTGTGTTCTCTTTGCTGATGATGTAAAGATATTCAACACCATCGACAATACTGCTACCCTTCAAAAAGACCTTGACTATGTATCAGAATGGTCAAACAAATGGCAACTTCAAATCTCAACAAATAAATGCTCTGTCTTACATATTGGCAAAAAAATCAGAAAATAAAATACAAGCTGAATAGTCAAGACCTTGTTGATGATCCAAACTCTTTCAAGGACCTTGGAGTACTCATCTCTAATGATCTAAGTGCTAGAGCCCACTGTAACCATATAGCCAAAATGCATTAAGGGTTGTTAACCTAATCCTGCGTAGCTTTTTCTCTGGTAATATTACACTACTAACTAGAGCATACAAAACATTTACTAGACCAATACTTGAATACAGCTCATCAGTCTGGAACCCGCATTACGTATCTGATATTAATGCAGCTGAGAAAGTCCAAAAATATTTCACAAGAGTTCTCCACTCCTCTACTCATTGCAGAATGCCTTATGCCACCAGACTTGAAATTCTAGAACTAGAAAACCTTGAATTACGCCGTCTTCGGTCTGACTTAAGCATGGTATATAAAATCATACATTGCAATGTCCTACCTGTCAATGAATACTTCAGCTTCAACCATAACAATACAAGAGTACACAATAGATACAAATTCAAGCTAAACCGCACTAAACTTGATTGCAGAAAATACGACTTCAGCAACACTGTGGTTTCTTCCCCAAACCCCAAAAACTTTAACCTTAGACTGTCTACTATTGACCTCACCCCTTTCCTAAGAGGTCTGTAGGGGGTGTGCATAAGCACACCAATGTACCTACCATCCCTGTCCTATTGTTTCTTTTTATTTTTCTTCTATATATCCATTTCATGTATTCTTAACTATGTTTATACTTATACCTGTTATTTTATAATCACCTGACAAAGTTAAATAAATAAAAAACAAACAAACTCCCATTTATTTAAGTTTTAAATTAATAATATGGTTTGGGATCTTACCAAAGATGAGTTTTTCCTCTTTTCTTTGGTTAGTAAACCAATCCCAACACTGTTACATGCTTATCATGGTGTCATTTGTCTGTTTCCCATATCAAACTTTGTAAAGTACCACCCTATTGCATCACATACACCAAGCCATAAAAGTAGAATTCAATCATATGAAAACCCAGTAGTGCAATAAGCATCCATGTTTCTGGAAAAAAAATGCAATGGAATGCAAAACAATAGACAGTAGATAATAGTTTTACATAGGGTAATAGAAGGTAAGATTAGATTAGACTAGAAAAAATATGCCAGATTACAGAATTATACAGGAGAGGAGAGGAGAAGAGAGGA